TATGGCAGGACAGGAACCAAAATTCAAGTTTTGAACAGCCTGCACAGGAGCGTGCTCTGAGCCTTTACTGCAAGTTATCCAACACCAAACCCAGAAACGGAGTCAAAGGCAGCGGGGGACTCACCCTTCCTCACACGCATGGCTCACGGTTGACCCAAAAAGGCGATCAGTCAGAACAGTAACTCTGCCGTTCTTTGGTGCTTCAGGGTATTTGCATTGCTTCCCTGGGAAAGAACAAGGCTGAGTTTAAACTCCTCTCTTGCAGTTTTGTAATGCAGTATGAGAAGGCATCTTTAGGATTTGTCCACATTCAGACATGGTTTTAAAAAACATGGTTTTTTAAAGACCAATAGCTGCCCAAACTATGTGACTAGTAAAGCCATGTATGAACTGTTTTTTAAAGAAATGCTTTAAGAAACCCACAAGTATCACTTAGACAGTTTTCAACGACCAACACCAAATTGATCAAGCTATTCACTTTTACAGAACGCTAGCGCTTCAGACCACGTCTGGTTTTGGAGGCATTTCAGTGTTTGGGGTACTCCGGGCTGTCTCATGTATCCAGGCTGACAGCTGTATCGCACGGTGTCCCCAGCTGCAAACTCCGTCAGATTTCTGTATTCCTCAGTTAGCTCGGCAAAGGTTAAATGTGGGGGTGCGCCACAGCCAGCTGTCAGGAAAGAAAACACAGGCAGAAATAGGAATATCAACTACATAGGGCTTTTAAAAAAATGTATATTGGGAATGTATAGATAAATGTTTACAAGCTGACAACAAAAAGACTGAAGGAATCAAAATTTTGGAAAAAGCAAGGGAAAGGATGAGTCCTACAAGCTTTCTGTGGCAGAAATTCCCAGACTATCCATAACGCCCATCTCAGAAGCCCAATGCACCTGCACACCGAGGAACAGGGAGGCTCCAGTTTCCAGACTCGGTGCAGAAAATCGATGCCTTTCCCAGGAGGCTGTAGCCAGGGTAGCAGCTGTAATTCACAACCATCCCAGCGGTGAAAATGTCCACATCCTGGCTGCTGTGATTTCCTTTGTCAATATTTGGAGGTGAAGGACATTGCAGCACTAAAGAGAGGACAAAGCAAAATGGAAGAAGGGCATGGACAGGGTAACACGCAGGAAGGATGCAGGCACAAAGCCACCAAGATTGGCTTTCACCTCACTGGAAGTGGAAAGCAGCAGAGCACGGGCTGGGGGAGAGGCTGCTAGAGCTGGGTGTTCCCCCATTGGTTTTGTGAGGTCAAAATTCAGGAAAGCTGTGACCACGATGGTCTCCCTTTCCACAGTGTGGAAAGAGCATTCACAGCTCACCTTCACAGTGGGGGTGAGGGATGCTCCAGGTGCCATTGTCCGTGCAGTGCACAGCTGTTTCTCCAATAAGAGAGTAGCCGGGGTCACAGCTGTAATTCACTGTCATTCCCAGGATGAACTCTGTCACATCCTCACCATCATGCCGGCCGTGGTCAATCACCAATGGGGAGGGACACAGCTGCCCTGTGGGGAAGGAAATCTTCACTGAGCACAGCTTTTGGGTTTTCTGTTTTTTTTTCCCAAGTAAGCACTAGAAAACTGAGTCTTTTAAGTACGAGTGTGTGGATTTTGCATTTTCTCCCCTTTTTTTCCCCTTTGTATCACCAGCATATCCACGAGTGATAAAGGTGGTGAACACACCTTCACACCAAGGCGCAGGGAGGCTCCAGGCTCCAGAAGAAGTACAATTGAGCTCTGCCTCTCCAACCAGAACATAGCCAGGATCGCAGGTGTAGCTCACAGACATGCCGCTGGTGAAAACGACTGTGGTGTGGCCGCTGTGTGTCCCATTGGCAATGGCTGGAGGCTGAGGGCACTGCGACACTGCGGGAAGAGGGAAAAACCATTCTCATATCAGTAGAGAGAAAAAGAAGAAGTATGGGACAGTGAGTGATGTGGTGCAGAGGAACACGGCAGCTGAGCATCCACTGCTCTGCAGCACAAACCTGCCTACACCCTGCCCTGCCCACAGCCTTGCCAGCAGGGACAGATCTAAGCGTCCTCCTGCTGCACCCCCATGTGCCCACGCTCACCTGGCTCGCAGGTGGGGACAGCGGGGACCCAGCGGCCATCGGGCTGGCACTTGGCTTCATGGCTGCCCCACAGCACGTAGCCAAGGTGACACTGGAAGGTGACGTTGGCCCCAGGATGGTACACAGTGCTCTGTCCTGCGGCCATGTCTCCATTCTGGATGGTGGGGCTTGTGCAGGTGATCTCTGAAAGTGAAAAGCAGCAGAGCATGGGCTGGGGCAGCAGCTGCCAGAGATGGGGGGTGGTTTTGTAAGGTTACAATTCAGGAAAGCTGTGTGACCACGACAGTCTCCTTTTCCACACTGGGCAAGAGCATTCACAGCTCACCTTCACACCGTGGGTAAGGGATGCTCCAGGTTCCAGATGTCAAACAAGAAACTGTTGTTTTCCCAGTGAGGACGTACCCCGGGTCACATGAATACTTCACCGACATTCCAGGGATAAACACTTTCACATCCTTGCTTGCATGCTGGCCATTTTTGATATTTGGAGGGGAAGGACACTGTAGCACTACAAGGAAAGGAAAAAAATCATAACTGGTGAAGAGCAGGTACCACAAACACCCGTTGTCCACCTTCCAGATGCACCCATATGGTGGTTCAGAAGAAATCAGGTACCACCCCCCCGCCTCACTGACACTTACTCTTTTCACAGATGGGGACAGGAGGGTCCCATGTGCCCCCAAACTGGCACCGAGACTCTTGAGAACCCTTCAAGGCGTAACCGAAATTGCATTCGAAGATGACAGTGTCTGCGAGTCTGTGTACGGTTTCCAGCCCAGTCATTTTCCCATTCTCAATCTCAGGTCTTTTGCAGCCGATTGCTGGAAGTGAAGAGCATGAGGCATCACTGGGATGTGAAGCCCACCCTGGGTGTGGAAGGCACTGACCAGGGGCAGTACCTGCTGTCAAACCTTGCCATCCCTATCATGGGAATGTGAACATTATTGACTCTTATTCTTACACAAAATATGATTATTCACTTGTAATGTGTCTTTGGGGGCCAGAAAGGGAAACCTGCAGGGGCAAATGGAGCTGATCCTGCCTGTGGGACCTTTGGCTTCTGCCTCTCACTGGAAATTTGGTCTGCAGCAATGAGGCCAAGAGCCAAGAGGGAAGAAAGGAGCCACAGGATCACAGGGGTTGGAAGGGGCCTCTGGGCATCTCCAGTCCAACCCCCTGCTAAAGCAGGCTCACCTGGAGCAGGTTGCACAGGATCACATCCAGGTGGGTTTTGAATATCTCCAGTCAGAGAAAGATAAAAGCAGCCAACACAAACACACCTTCACATCGAGGCCGAGGTCGGCTCCACGTCCCCGCGGGAGTGCAGCTAATGGAGGCGTTCCCGATGAGGAGGTAACCATCGCTGCAGGTGTAGAGCACAGCTGAGCCGGCGGGGTGTGAGTCCGAGGACTGGCTGCTGTGCTTCCCATTGGCGATGCCTGGAGGAGGTGGACACCTCACTTCTGTGAAGGAGATGGAAAGGCAGATGAGAAATACAGACAGGGCAAGGAAAAAAAATATGAAAAGCAAGCCATGGACATTCATTCTGCCCCTCACAACCATCTCTTGCCGTCGGGGATGAACACTTGTGCACCACAGACCCCTACCTCCGCAGCGTGGCGGCTGCCCGCTCCACACACCGTGCTCCCCGTCCACTGTGGTGCAGGAGATGGAGGGGTCTCCAGCCAGTGGGTGGCCGGGGTCGCAGCTGTAGGTGACCATGTCCGCGTAGGAGAAGACGGCCTGTGAGTGCCCACTGTGTCTCCCGTGGGGGATGTCTGGTGGTGGATCACAGGTGATACCTGCAGGCACATATTAGGTGGCCTTTAGCATCAGTGCTGCAGCAGCACACAAGATCTCCAGGACCCACATGGTTCCCAGGAGGGGAACCAACAAGGATGAACCTGTCTCAGTGGTGATGCTCTCTGGATACCATGATTCAAATTATCCAGACACAAACCTTGTATGGAAAAAAAAAAATCATATGCAGGAAGGAATACATTTTCAGAAACATCCGAACCAAAACAAAATGAAAAGAAACATGAAAGATTTTACACATACAGTGCATTGAAAATCTTTGGCAATAAAATTTTTGTCTTGAAAGATGTGCCACTGCCTCTTGCAAGCCATCTCCAAGGACCTTTTGTCATGGCCTACTTACGCTGGCAGACAGGAGCATCTCCACTCCATGAGACACGCGTGCCAGAGACCTCGCACGTTCTCTGAGAGCCTCCAATCAACATGAACCTGGAGTCACACAGAAGGATGTATTATTTTACATCAGAAGACTTGAGATTTCTTTACAACCCTCATAAATGGCATACGGTGACTTGGGAACTACATTCCTTCATGTAAAGCTAAAAATCTGATTTACTTTCACTTGGCAGCTGAATTCAGGTAGCAAGACTCACCCTTTGTCACAAGTGTAGTTCACTTTGGACCCAAAGAGAAGGTTGGTCAGGACAACAGCTCTGCCGTTCTCTGGATCCCTGGGGTTAGCACACTGTTTCCCTGGGAGGGAACATCAGCCACCATCAGCCCTCAGCTGCCCGCTCACATCCCACCCAGTGATGCTGGCACAAAGCAGACCACATAAAGAAACCCCTAAAGCCAGAAAAATGGGAAAACCCAGCCAAACTTGAGGTTTTTGAGCAGGACGTACTTTTACAGAACTCCAGCAGTGCAGTCCATGTCCGATTCCTGAGGCACGTAATGGTCCGTGGCACCCCCGGGTGCGGGGCGTACCCGGGCCGGCACACATACTCCACCGTCCTGCCCACGGGAAAGGCCGTCTGGTCACCGTATGGCTCCTTCGGCTCAGCAAATGCCAGCCTGGCCGGGGCACTGCAGCCAGCTACCAAGACAAATAACCCAGCCCAGTTGTTAAAGGAGTCAAAAAGCAGCAGGTGTGGGGAAGGCTGACATCCAGAGCACTGTTTGGACACTTGCCCTGCTCGCAAACTGGCACGGGTGGCTCCCAGGTGTTGTTCAGTTGGCACTGTACCATTTTGGGGCCATGTAGCTCATAGCCTGGCTCGCACTCGAAGGTGACCGTGTCCTTGTGTGTGTAGGCAGTCCTGGGAGACACTATTCTCCCGTTCGGGACCCGTGGGACGGGACATCTTGCCTCTGGAAAAGAAGTGCAGATCCTCAAAATAACCACTGGGCAGAGCTGTGCAGCTGCGAAGCTGCTTAGAATTGCAATGCCTTTTAAGACACAAAATTAAAGATAATTTTCTCATAGATGATGTACTGCCTGCATCCAGCAATGTCAGACACTGAGAAAGATCCCCAGGCTAAGAGGTGATGCTGGGGGTGCTGCTGGTCCTCCAGCCTCCTCTGCTTAGTCTCAGCTGTAAAACCAGCCCATGCAAACCCTGCCCTAGCAGGCACTAGGGCAAGAAACGCAGTCATCTGGAGGTTTCCTTGTCTCCCCGAATATGAAGCAGTAGGACTGGGAGGATTACACATGAATGTTTGCAGGTGCATGCACAACCTTACCTCCGCAGTGTGGCGGGGGCCCGCTCCAGACCCCATTCCTCCCATCCCGGGTGGTGCAGTGGATGGAGGGCTCGCCCTGGAGCGGGTACCCGGGGTCACAGGTGTATGTGACAGAGGTGCCGTAGTGGAAGTCATCCAGCAGCCTGCCTGTGTGCTTCCCGTTGGGAATGTCCGGAGGCGGCTCGCAAGGGATACCTGTGGGGGTGCAGAACAAGGCTACTAAATTCTAAATTCTCCATCTGAAGGAATTTCCCATGAAATTTCCTGTCAGAGATTTCTTTGGGAAGATTTGGCAGTCTCTGCTGGAACATATTTACCGGATCCATGCAGACTCCCCAGAGCTCTAAGCTACTTACGCTGACAAGTGGGAATGTCACCACTCCACGCAACACGTCCACCAAAAATCTCACAGCGTCGGCTGGGTTGTCCAATTAACCTGTGCCTGGTGTTAAAAGGGTTGAACATTCATTCCATGTCATTTCAGTGCGAGTTATTGCCTCCTCCTCCTCCTCACCACCCTGGACAGTGCGATCAGCCCTAAAGAAATTCCCTTCCTTGCTCTTCCTGACCAATTTCACAGTATATCTGTGTATACATGAGATAGGGAACACCTCACGTGTTAGATAGGTATGGGACTCTATACATTGGCTTCTGTATATAATCCACTTATTGGAAGTGAATGAATAGGAGGAAAAAAGGGAGACTTACCCAGTAGATCTCTCCTTACTGTTTTAAGCAGTAGCCAAACCCAGCACTTACCCTTCTTCACAGCTGTACAGCACTGTCGACCCAAACAGGAGATCTGTTAGAAAAGTAATTTTCCCATTCATAGGTTCACCAGGATGATTGCATTGTTTCCCTGAGGAAGAAAAAGAACCTCATTTTAGGCTTTTCTCCATCTCTACCACAGCACAAGATATGTAATTATTACTCCAATAATCTGTCCACATTTCCAGTTACCCCCCCAAAATGGGTTTCGAATAGCACAAAGTTACATGGCTTTACTAGTCACACACTATTTGAACACCAGAATATGGTTACATTTTTGGCAGCATGGACAGAACTGAGCACCTATCCCTTCCTGAACCACAGACACTGAATCAGGGAGCTATTCACTTTTACAGAACTCTAGTGCTTCTGACCACACTCCACTCTCAAGGCAGGTAATGGTAGGTGACATTTCCGGGCGTTTAGCATATCCAGGTCGGCAAGTGTACCGCACAGTCTTCCCAACAGAAAAATCAATCTCATTTTTGTGCTCCTCGTTTAGCTCAGCAAAATGTAACCTGGTAGGAGCACCACAATCACCTATTGAGAAAGAAAACAGAGGTGAGAATCGGACTGGACAGACATGCAGGGTGTGAGCACAGGAAGGACACTGTTAGGAGGAAAGGAGTTTGCTTTGCCTTGAAGAATTGGTTATTTTGATTAATATAGCCATTGCTAAACAAACACAACATATTTTCCCACAGGATTCTAGAAGATCTGGTTCTTATTCCCAGGAGATGTTTAAATCTTCCACTCACAGGGTTTAACCACATTTTTTTAACAGAATTAGGGGACATAAAATAGTAGTGTGCCCCAAGGCAGCTATGCCACGATTTACCTGGAAGTTGAGCCCTGTCTGAGGGCTCCTGGTGCTGGTGCAGTCTGTGGCAGGTGGGAGCAGCGGGATGCCAACTCCCATCCTCCTGGCAGGAGATTTTGGCACTGCCCTGCAGGCTGTAGCCATTGAGGCACTGAATTGTCACCATTTGCCCAGGCGCGGAGACCAATCCTTGACCATCAACTTGTCTGCCATTCTCTATGTCTGGATTTATGCAGACTGTCACTGGAAATGAAGACATGACAAAGTGATGTGCAAAAGAAGTTAGAACAAAACAAAAACCCACAAACTGTTAATATTGCAGCAACAAAATCTACACAACATCTACATTAATAAATTTATACCATGCAACACATTACATGGGATTGACTTTTCCTGAGGATCTGGGTGCAGCAGTCAGGGTCTCCTCTGTGCTTGGAGCCACACTGTGAGCATCCCCCAGGGGACA